TAATTAGTTGTTTTGTCTTTGCTATGCCTATTAAAATTCAAATTAATTCTGGACTGGCAGATCTCCAGGTAGATGCAGTAGAACACAGCCATGCTTGCATGACTAAATCAAGCACCTTCTGAACTGGTTTAGTTACCATACATTTGTATGTTATTAAAATAATTAATGCTTTCATAAAATATTTTAAAATGCTTTAGTGCTGTGAGTCTTCACATGATTTGAAGGCTTTACCTATGCTTTCATGTAAAGAGCTGGTGCAGCTACAGGTAGAGAGCTGTCACAGAAACCTACCACGGGCTATGTTGTCAATACTTCTCTGCATGAAGAGGGTGTTGTCAATAGCAATCATCCAGTCCACTTGTCCAATTCAACTGCATTGACACAGTCCTTTGGAAGGTTTCTTGAACCATTTACCGCCAGAATAGGAAGCTGTATTCTATCTTGGAGTCATTAATAATATTATAGTATGATATTTAAATATAAAACTAAACACTCACACACATATAAAAAATTGAAATGTTCGTATGCAACAAGGGATACTTTTCTATCACACAAGCTATACTCTCTTTTATTTAGTTCTTTTTTTTAATAGACTGGCTGTTCTTTCAGAAAGGATATTCAAGGAACAGTCTAATGTCCAAAAGAGAAAGCATGTAACTACTCCTACTGAGACATACAGGGCATTTTGAGTGAACAGGTCTTTGGAGGCATAAATCTTCTTGATAATTTAAGCTTTTGTAATTTACAAGGGAAATAATTGTTGTCCCTTCCTAGTTTCTACCAGATAAAAACACAAATTATATCTAGAAACAACATTAAAAAACACATTATAGTACAGGGATATTTTACTTTCTTGACTTCTTTTTTTCTTTTTGATGGTTACATTCAAGGTTGAAAATGGCAGCATGTACTGATGTATATGATTTACCAGCACCCTAACAGATTATGTTGAGAATAAAACAACAAATCCAACACAACCAAAAAGCAAGAAGGAAATAGATGAAAATATTTATAGGCTCACGAGTGAATATAGACACAAATAATTCATGTTGCACTCTGTCTTGAAAGAATTTGTATTTAAAATGTTCAGGCAATATGTAAATAAAAGTATTTTTGAACACTGTAAATGAACTCCCACGTTTGAGGCTCTGTTGAAAGGAAATTAAGCCTAATGTAAGAGTATCATAGTATCATTAAAATAACTTCATAAAATAACATCACTTACATAGCAGAGGGCAGGAGCCTGCAGATTTACTGACGTCCATTCAATCATGTATGGTGGAGATAATGACAACCTGAGTTCCTGTTTTTAAAGCAGCACAGAAGGTCAGATAAAGTAATAGAGAAAGAAATAAAAAGTCTAGACAGATAACAGATAGTAACAGCACTTAATTTTTTTTTGACTACTTAATTTTAAAATTTCTAGAACAAATATGTGAAATGACCTGCCACTAATGGTGCAAAGCCAGTAAGCCCAAATGCCAGTACCGTTCACACTAGTAATTATTCTTTATGGATTTTGGTTTTCATTACTATGCAACTGGAGTTCACTGCAGCTTGCTGGAATACTTCATGGCAGTGGTTCTCCATGGTACCTGTGATTGCTTTGGACTGGACTTGAAGTGATCCATAGCTAGATTATGTCTTAAGGCAACCATCTCAGTTTTCTTGTCCTGTGTCATCTAAATTCCTCACTGGATGTTCTGTCTGCTAGCTAGAAAACAATCCTGAGTTTTGGTAGCATTGCCTCAAGTAGTTATAAGGATGAGACCCAGACCTAGGTGTGTGCGACACAGAGGTAGGCAAGGTAGGTGAAAGGCTTGTCTCAGCTGTTGTGTGTCAGCTGCAGCTTTGGCCCTGTTAAGGCCCTGTGGTCCTGTTATTTTGGGATTCTGGGTGGAAGAACAAGAGCTGTCCCTCAAAACCTGATTCTTTGGTACCTCTCTGCCACCTCTAGCGAGAGTACTTGTGCATGTCTTCATTGCATGTTTTGTGTGTGACCTTTTGTCAGATGAAGAGAGGTCTGAAGTCTTGGTCTGATCAGAGACATGAGTGACAAGTGTCCCCATGGAATCAAACCTCCTCCTCCTCCTCCATGGCGTGCATGAGATGCATAGAAATCAAAGCAAGATTTTAACTTTCAGACTAAGTCTTCTTCAGGCGTGGAAAATAGGGCAACAATTTTGACTGTGATAACTTGTTTCTGTGAATAAGATGGTATGAAATGCACTGGAATTATAGATGAGCTGGGTCTAGAGAGTCCTTGCTGTAGCAAAAAGCAGTGCCGGTGCAATCAGGGCTGGCGCCAGCTCAGGCTCCAAGCTGGCAAGTACTGACTTCTAAGAGGATCTCTGAAAATTGAAGTTACATACAACCATAAATATTTAATTCCTATTATTGCATGCTGAGAATTGCAGCACTGTCTGCAAAGCAGTATAAAAAGGAGAAGTGTAAAACATATCAGCAATGCAAATATGCTGTAAATATTGTAGGGA